CTGGGAGGCAGAATTTGCAGAGAGCCGAGATCATGCCACTGCACTCCAGTCTGGGTAACAGAGTGAGACTCCGACTCAAATAAATAAATAATAAAAAGGAATAAGTGTAGCTGCGACGTTTATTTGAGACTTATTAGCCTTAGCACACATACCCTAAAAATTTTAAAACAGATTTTTATCTTATTCACCAGAACAGATTCAGTTACCTATATCATTGAGCCCTATAACTGAAGGGTCCACTTCTTTTAATTTGATCTCGGATACGCAGAAGTATATCTTAACTAAAACTTTCTCCCCTAAAAGAAGCATTTTTAAAAGGTACCAAGGGCTGTTATTTTTTAAATGATTTGATGAAATCAAAGGCAGATAGTTTGGGCTTTTGATTAGATTTCAATATGCCACTCTTACTAGGGAGCTTTCTCTTGTTTGGGCATGGCGGGATTTTTGCCGTGAGAAACCTTCTGCTTCTGCCCCCTCAGTTCTCACTCCCCATCAATTACCCTTCAAAAGACTATGAATAGCAGTTACAATACAGTTAGGTGTTCTTTGGGGGACCCTCATATAGCGAGCACACTGAATCTGTGGGTTTAGTATTAGAGGCTTGACTATTTGAATGTGATTGCAAAAGTCAATGAGGACTCTGTTATGACCATGAATTTGTAGGTTGGTGTTTAGCTTAGCAAGTGGTGAAGCTAGTGAGTGAGCCTGTTTACCACCCAGTACTCACATCTCCCTTTGGCTCTGTTGTTTTCTGCCTGTTTTCATCCTGTGACTTAAACACACATACCTTAGCCAACTGTTTATGCTAATGATGAAAGAGAAGTCAAAGTAAATAAGCCAGATAATGGTTCGGAGATAAAACCAGTTTTAAAAATGTACTTACCTGTTTTTCTCTACTAACAGCATTTAACACATGGAATAAAATTTGGTTGAATAAATGTTTAATGTCTCTGAGAAATCTTTCATAATAGTATAAGATTCAGGTTTTTTTCTTGTTGTTTGTTTGATGTTTACTAAAGAGGAATCGTTTCTCAGTGTGAAGTATATCCAGGACCAGAAATGGCTGTTGTTATCCAAGGTAAAGAATCCAAACAACAGGAAGGCAGTATAAATATCAAAACCTGACCTAAAGGAGATCTTTAGATGTGTGCTGGTTAGCCCTTTGACAATCACAATACCTTAAAACACATAAGTATATTTATAGTGATGTTTGAGTAACTTGGAAGTCTGTTTTAGACAAAATGCATGTTTGGTTAATATTGCTAGGCGTAGGCTGTAGCCCCCCTCCCTTCATATGAGATGCTTTAGGCATGATGAAACCCACCTGTGGTGCCTACACCCCTCCTCCAATTAGAACGACATCGTCACTGAATGCAAATTTACAAAAAGCTATGGCAGAACCTCTAGTTAAAATCTTGTGAGATGCAAAGAACCTGAAATTTAAGAAGCTAAGGGAAAATATACATTCAGAGCCTGTCTCCTACCAGTCAGCCGTGTTTTTGCTTAGTTAATTTTATTCTTTTTCTGAACCAATGTTGAATTGAAGTAATAGTGATCACAACTTTTCACAGTTCTCCGAAGACTATTGCCTCTTCACTGCCTTCATGAATTAACTTCAATTTCTTTCAAACATAATTCTTTAAAAAAAAAACTTTATTGAGATATGATTGACATACAAAAAGCTATACACATTAAATATATACACTGCGATGAGTTTGGAGATATGTATATACTTGTCTATCACCTCCAAAACTTTCCTGCTGCCCTGGCAGGATTTTTTCTTGTTTAAAGCTGAGTAATATTCCATTGTGTCAGTATACTGTATTTTCTTTATCCATTCATTCATCAATGGACATTTAGGCTGCTTCCATATCTTGACTCTTATGAATAATGCTTCAGTGAACATTCCATTCAGAGAAGTGGAGATACCTCTTCAAGATCCAGATTTCAGTTCCTTTTGGGTATATACCCAGTAGTGGGATTGCTGGGTGATATGGTACTTTCATTTTTAATTTTTTGAGGAATATCGTAAGTGTGTTTCAAGAAAATATAAAGACAACATAAGAAGACTTAGAATTAAGTACAGTTTGATAGAATCTAGGGTAATCCTTTTATCCTGACCTTCAGGACTTTTATTCACTTACATTCCTTCATGTAGCACAGTTCCCTGCCAGAAACATCCATTACGGAGAAAGTGACGGCTTGAGACTTCAGGGAAAATAATAACTTCTAACTATTTTATGTAACTGAGGATGAGTGTTTTGGTACTTCCCTTAAGAGATGGGATCTTTCACGCCTGTAATCCAAGCACTTTGGAGGCCAAGGCGGGCGGATCACCTGAGGTCGGGAGTTCAAGACCAGCCTGACTAACATGGTGAAACCCTGTCTTTAAAAAAAAAAAAAAAAGAGATGGGATCTTGCTCTGTCAACGAGGCTGGAGTGCAGTGGTATGACCATAGGTCTCTGCAGCCTCAAACTCCTAGGCTTGAGTGATCCTCCCACCTAGGCCTCCCATGTAGCTGAGAATATTGGTGTGCACTACCACACCCTGCTAACTTTTTCAGTTTTTGTTTTTGTTTTTGTTTTTGCTAAGAGATAGTCTTGCTATGTTGCCCAAGCTGGTCTTGAACTCCTGGCCTCAAGTGATTCCCCCTGTCTCAGCCTCCCAAAGGGATGAGTTTTAACATGCTAATTGCTTTAAGTTTTAAAAGAACAAAAGCATTTTTAAACCTCTTTTTTTAAATTAATACATATTATATTAAAAAAAAAACAAAAAACAGAAGCAAAAAGAAAAATTAAAATCACTTACAATTTTCTTACCTAGAGTTAACAACTATTAACATTATGGTATTTATAAGATTCTTGTATCCATTTCTATACATACACACTATTTTCTGTAAAATGAAATCACACTGAGCTTATCTGTTATTAAGTGATGAGTCTTACCTGTCCCGTAATGAATGTGTTTTCCTTTGCTTTTTTACTTAACGCTATATTGTGAACATTATGAACAAAGTCACCGGATTTGGAAACCGAGTTACTAGAAGTCAACAAAAATACCTACTATAAAAGGAAAACAATAGGTAAAAGTCAGTATTATTTTAATTTAGTGTTAAAATTACCCAAATCTCACATACTTGATTCACTCTATATTTTTTAAAAATTGGATATGTAGAGAAGGAGCAATTTTTTAAAAGATTTAACTGCAATTGCATAATGTTTTGTGATTTCATTATTCATCTTTCTAAATGTGGTATAATAGACTATAATTTTAGTAAGTATATCAGTTCATTCTCACACTGCTCTAAGGACATACCCGAGACTGGGTAATTTATAAAGGAAAGAGGTTTAATTGACTCACTGTTCTGCATGGCTGGGATGCCTCAGGAAACTTAGAATCATGGCAGAAAGGAAGCAAACACGTCCTTCTTCACATGGTTGCAGGGAGAAGAATGAGTGCCCAGTGAAGGAGGGAAGCCCCTTGAAAAACCATCAGATCTCATGAGAACTAACTCACTATCACAAGAACAGGATGGGAGAAACTGCCCCCATGATTCAATTACCTGGTCCCTCCCAGGAAACATGGGAATTATGGTAATTATAATTCCAAGATGAGATTTGGGTGGGGACACAGCCAAACAATATCAGTATTTATTTATATTTATTTTTTAGAGACAGGGTCTTGCTATGTTGCCAAGGCTGGATTCAACTCCTGGGCTCAAGTGATCCTCCCACCTCAGCCCCCTGAGAAGCAGGTACTACAGGCATGTACTACCACACTCAGCTTAATTTTAGGAAGTATGTAAGCAAATGCTATTGATCTGTATAAAATTGTTTATTTTAAAAAGTGAAAAGTTGTTTCCAAACAATGTGTCAATTAGTTTTTCTCTTTGGTAGACAAATTTTATATGTACAAATCAAAGTTGTAGAAGTACCTTCTTGCCTAACATTCAAGTGGTTTCAGATGGTAAGCTTTCACATAACAAGGGGAGATATTGGGCTCTCAGAAAAAGCAGTTCCTAAGGAAACACCTGCATTTAGTGCTTCTTTTTCATGTTAATGAAGTTCTGTCTCATCGAAAGAAAAAATAAAAGATTATTGAGTAGAGGTACTTACAGCCTAGTGCAAAGTCAGGAAGGCTCTGGAGCTGATGGGCAGCTCTTTAGGGTCCAGGAGTCCATTCTTGGTGGACTCAGTGTGAAGCTAAAACTGGAAGGTCACCTCCTCTACCATGTAAAATAACCTGAAGCTGTGAGGGTTCAAGGGATCCACCCACGGTTCCACAGTGATTGTGAGGGCTGAGACTTTAGAATTCTGCCTTTCTAACACCCAGATTTTGCCTGCTTCACACACTGACAGGAATTATCTTCTGTCCTCGGGGAGTCTTATGGTTGATATGGTCAGGTACAGTGGCTCACGCTTGTAATCCCAGCACTTTGAGAGGCTGAGGCGGGCAGATATCTTGAGTCCAGGAGTTCAAGACCAGCCTGGGCAACATGACAAAACCCCACCTCTACAAAAAAATACAAAAATTAGCCAGGCATGGTGGTGTGTGCCTGTAATCCCAGCTGTTCGGGAGGCTGAAGTGGGAGGACCACAGAAGCAGAGGTTGCTGTGACTCGAGATGGCACCACTGCACTCCAGCCTGGGTAACAGAGCAAGACTCTATCTCAAAAAAAATAAATAAATAAAGATTTAGGTTGTTTCCCCCAGTCTCCCAGGTCTCTCCTTTTAATTCCAAAACTAACCAGAAGTTAATGTAGGAGCCTATACCTGTGTTCAGGTGTAGGCTAGGGGCGGCACCTGACGTGGCCTCATTGGAGCCTGTGTACTGGAATTAGACCAGTTGCTACAGGTTAGCTCTTGCATTAAAATGCAAGTCATGCTTTTGTTTTAATACAATATCAACCATTCAGCCTTGACATGATTTAAAATGAATGTGGCTAGTTTTACCTTTGTGAGAGAGAGAGAGAGAGAGAGAGAGAGAGAGAGAGAGAGAGAGTGTGTGTGTGTGTGTGTGTAATAACCTAATTGACACACAGTCATGACGTTTTCCTTCAGCCTGATGTTATCCCATCATTCGGAGACCCATTTTGTTTAATTTGTTTTTTCATATAGTTTCTGGTAGGAAAAATGCATTGCTTTAGCACTGAAATTAGCTTGATTGAAATGTCTTAGACTTTATCATTTTCCAGTGGCTCAAAAGGTTATTTCCCAAGTGTTTAATTTTTTAAGTACAGTATATATTAATTTCACTGCTGCTTTCTGACATTCATCATTCCATGAAAAATTATCACAAATGAATACATCAAACAGACTTTTATTTACACTCCAATTCCCATTCAATGTAAAGTTATTTAACTTTGAAGATAGCATGCAAATTTGATAAAGATGAGGTTTTTTTTAAAAACTGGACCATTTACTGATTTGCTAAATATAATTTTCACGTTTTCCTTATAGTGTTCTATAATACATCTTTCAGAAGGAAAAAACTTGAAAACTAATATAATCTTCAGGAACTGTTCAGTCAGAAATAATGAGTGGAGAGGTCACTTATCAAACATATATTGTTTAAAATACTTATGTTTAAGTATTTCTAGTCTTTGAGGTAAAAAGTTCTGCCATGAAAAATATGGATTCATTGGGCCTCTGAATTCTGTACAACATGTCACGATTTCTCCTCTGGAGCTAAAGATAGAAAGTAAAATAAAATGTTCTTTGTCCATTTAGTTATCCTTGACTCCATGAAATTCTCCAAAGTAATTACTGGTGACCACAATACCACCTACCAGCAAGAGCAGCATTGACCATGTGCCAAGTCCCTTATTGCTGACCACAGCTGCTCTTGACTACAGCAGATGTTTCTCCTTTTGCCTTGGCAGTAAAATTTTATTAAGCATTTTTGCAAGTAGAGAGCAGCATACTCTACCTGATGAGTGACTGGAGATCTTAGCCCTTTTGTGCAATCAGCTTATATTCTTCTTATCTGCCATCAGGCCCCCACCTCTAGGTTCCTTGCATCTCACCAGCCAGGCCTCAGGACTTGTAAACTACAGTCCTCTTGGGTTTGCTTCCCCTACCCACCCATGTAATTTTCCCAAAGAAAATAATGTTAGAAGAGCAACCGCACTTGTGGTTACAACTTACTGCATTAAAAGGCTGTCACATTGGAACGTTGCTCCTACCAGTTGTGGGTTTACAAAACGGAGTTGGGGTACTTTGCTGGGATGTTTTGTTAGGATGCTTTTCTGAATTTTTCCACATCTCTTTGGTTTGGAGATTGACTTGGAAATCTCTTTTGAATTAGCTTCTTTTGGAGAGCTTTCTGCTTTTCTGAGCACTTCTTGAATCCTTTCCCCATCAAAGCCACCGAGGGAATTTCTGCTCTTCCTATCTGTTCTGTAGATGGTACCCTGTTTGAGTCCTTCTGAAGACTAAAGGCCTGATTTTGCTTCTGAGTTGGATTGGATGGTTTAACATAATTTGTCTTTATGCTTTTTGTCCAGGGTAAAGGAATATATTTGTGAGTTGTGGCTGATACTGCTTTAAAAAAATTTAAAAAGGAAATCTAAAGGACAATTCCTATGATGCTTACAACCCATTTCTCAGGTCTTTCAAAGAAAACAACTGGTAAAGATACTGGCAGTTGAAGGTCTAAGTCCCAGCATGGCATGAATTCCCAGAGAGCCTTGGGCCTTGGGAGGAGTGGTAAAATATAAGATTAGAGTGCAGAGGTCATCTGGTGACAATTTGCCTGGTTTATGCTTCCTCAGCAGGGAGGAAGTAAGTAGCAATGATCTCAGTCCTGAATGGTCATTTCAGAAGTGTATCATGGTGGGAATTTTTCTAGCCAGCGTTGTGGCAGATGACCAACCGTGATAGTCTGATTTTAAGGCCCCTAACACATATGATACCAGGACATCTTTGAATATTCTATTTAGTCCGTACTAGGACACGTAGGACAAGATGAGTGAACTACTTTAGACCTATAGGTCAAGAAGTTTGAAACAGTATATTCACCGTTTACACTTCAAACTCTTGGAGTAGCTTAACAAAGTAGTATAACTGTCAAATATTTATAAAACTTTCTTCTTCTTTGCTCTTAAGGAGAAGACATTGTTTAGATGAATATATTTTCTTTTCCTATGCATTCTACTCCTGCAAAAATTTGTTTTTAAAATGAGAAGCTTGGCTGGGCATGGTGACTCACGCCTATAATCCCAGCACTTTGGGAGGCTGAGGTGGGTGGATCATCGGAGGTCAGGAGTGTGAGACCATCCTGGCCAACATGGTAAAACCCTATCTCTAATAAAAATAAAACAATTAGCTGGGTGAGGTGGCATGTGCCTGTGGTCCCAGCTACTCAGGAAGCTGAGGCACAAGAATCGCTCGAACCTGGGAGGCGGAGGTTACAGTGAGCCGAGATCGCACCACTGCACTCCAGCCTGGGCAACAAGAGTGAAACTCTGTCTCAAAAATAAATAAATAAGTAAATAAATATAAGAAAGTAATACCAGCACTGCTGCAGTGGGTATTTGGCTCAGCTCAGGCCTATTCCTTTTTTTGATGTTCCCAGAGCAGAGCACTCCTTAAACTAGGATAAGGAAAGTTAATTTTAATCCTCCAAAGGCTTATTTGCTAGCACAAAAGGTCATGAAACACACCCAAAAACGATATTGCTGAAATCTGAAGGAGCGGGATCTCAGCAGCAGAGACGGACTGTAGTGTCCCAACATAGAATTGCGTCTCTGGCTGAAGAAATAGTTTGTTTTAGGAACGCCAATTAATACAAAAGCTACAGAGTGGAAGAGTTTCCCCTTAACTGATCTAAGGGAAAACTCTTTTTCTCATGTTGTTTTAGGAAACTCAGAAGATAATTATTTAGAAATATTTGTGGAATCATGGTCACAGGCGTTATTTCCAAATATGTTTAAGTAGCTGCTCTCTGCCCATTATTTTTGTAATTACTATGCCTTAATCTGTTATCTGTCAAAAGGGGAAAAAATCTTTCTGAATCTACCTGATAGACTCATGGAATACCAACAACAACAACAACAACAAAAATGTGATGACCCTATCACATTTAAAGCTTTTAAAGCTTCCTTTTGAGATGATTTCTTAGGGTACTAAAATATCACCTGCCCCAGAGATTACAAATCAGAAATTGAACGAGGCAGGCTTAAAGATGATCAGAAAACAAGTTACCAAATAGGAGCAGCCGTTGTGAAACTAGAGAAGGTTATGAAATGATCCTGCCCTTTTATAAAGAAGGTTGAAGACACCAGGCACCTTTCCCTGGGTTTGTCTGGTGGAAGTTTAAGGTAAGTTCATACCCTGGGCCCAGTAGAGAGCTTTGCCTTCATGATTGTCCGCAAATGGTTCGACAAACATAAGACCTCAGTGTTCCTAGATCATTTATCCCCCTCAGAAATGTGTGCTAAATATGAAGTAAAAGACTACAAAAGGGATGATAGAGAAGAAAACCTAATTACCAGTCCTGGTAATTTTAAACATGAGAAGATTTATAAACAGCAGCTTCTTCATGCACTTGTGAGTTCTGACATGTTGTGGAAATAGGGCCTACTAAGCCACTGAAAGGATTCTCAATATATTGTGTGAGATGGAAAGAAGACCAAGAGAAAGACTTGTTTTTCACTTTAAAGAATTGCTTTAGAAACCAAGACTGTGACTGAGCACTGCTCTGCGCTGCATCAAGCCATAATATCCAGTGAGTCATGAAGGCATTAGGGAAGCACTGGAGACATCATAAGAAACATTTGAGTTAATGTTGAGATAAGGAAGATGATTATCTCTAAAAAGAAACTGAAATTAAAGGGCATGGTTTCCCATTTTCGGACAGCTGAAAGGCATTCGTTTCAGTGATCCCTCCTTTACTAGCCCACGTACATGCCGTGAGTGTGTGAACTAGAAACCAGGCTTTTAAGCTGAGCTCTGCGTACTTGTAGACTGAGACCTTGGGTGAGTTACTGCCCACTTTGGCTTCAGTTTCCTCACCTGAAAATGAGTGATCAACCAGGTAGTCTCTATGGGGCCCTTCTGGTCCAAGGAGTCTATCAGTCTGGTTTTTGAGCATTATCCTACATTGGACAACCTCAGAAAGTCTTTATGACTTGTGGCTGCCTTTGTGGTGATATGAAGATATCAGTGGAAGGTTTTAAGACTGTGGATCACTAGGGAGACCAGTGTTTAATCTACTTCCTCCTCACCAAGAATTCATCCCTCCAGCCCTGCCCCTAGGAAACCATTCAGAAAGGTCATTTCATTTCCTACGAGCCAGTCTTACATCACTGGTGCAAGGATTGGGCACTGCTTGCCCAGCTGGAAGGTGAGACATTGGAGGCCTCAGCCTACTGTCCCAGCCAGTATTTGTCAGGCTGATGATAAGCTGGTGGAGAGTCTGTTAAGTCAACACCTGTCTAATGAATTTGGGATTCCTTACTGAAAAAAAGACTGGGCCGGGTACGGTGGCTCATGTCTGTAATCCCAGAACTTTGGGAGGCCAAGGCAGGCAGATCACCTGAGATTGGGAATTTGAAACTAGCCTGACCAACATGGCGAAACCCTGTCTCTACTAAAAATAAAAAAAATTAGCCAGGCATGGTGGCAGTTGCCTGTAATCCCAGCTACTTGGTAGGCTGAGGCAGGAGAATCGGTTTAACCCGGGAGGTGGAGGTTGCAGTGGCCTGAGATCTTGCCATTGCACTCCAGCCTGGGCAACAAGAACGAAACTTTGCCTCAAAAAAAAGGACTGGATCCTGGTCCATCCAAGACGCTGCCCTTGAAAGCTCTGGGTTGATGAGTGATATGTTGGTCTCTTGGGACAGGGCTGTACAGTTGAGAAAAGTAGCAAGAACATCAGATCTCTGCAGGTCATCTGGCCCCCATAAAAAAGCAATAGCAACTGGGAAAAGCCTAGATTGCTAGGTTCCCAGCTATACTGGATTATTAGACAAAGCCACTCACTCCATCTTTGTTTATAGAACTCATTTTCAGGAACAAGTGTTTTATAGTTAGGTGGAGGTTGTAAAGAAGCTATTTATAATGAAGATCCCAAATATGTGAGCCTTCTATCAAGCTTGATCTAAAGGAACTTTACATGGGTGGCAGTTTAGAAGAAAAAGAGAGAAAAGGATAAAGAAAAAAACTAATAAAAATAGCTGAGATCACTCAACAGTTATCAAGAAACAGATACTACAGTTTTATAACATGAAGTACTAAAAGTATATGCACTCTTAAAAGGCAATTAAAACGTATGCCCCAAAACTATAAAACATTTTCTTTTCATCTGTAACATAGAGGGCAGATTACAACACATTAATAACGTTTTGTTTAGAGTTCAGTTTCTGATGGTTTCCAAATGTAGTCTGTGTAGATTAACCAG